TGCTAAGCCGGAATGGCGAACGCGTGACTTTTGCTTCTATCAATCAGCATGCATGCTCGCCGAAAATCTCGCTGTCAAATCTGCTTCCAGCGAAAGGTTTTCGACTGCAAATGAGACCATAATTGCTGACCACTATGTCTACAAAGACATCGCTCAGGACATGCAGACTCGTGTGCCATGGCGCTGCTGGAATTCAGGTACCGTCTGCGCTTGCGGGTTTTCCTGCCAGCTTCACGCCACATGTGAACAATACGGGGGCGAGATTACTACTCCACAACAACCACGCACTATCCAACGATAATACCTACACTGGACGAAGTATGTTGGCGGATTGACCGTTTCTAGGAAGGAGCTGTCTCCGCCTTCTTGTTTATTCGATCTCCGGTGTGGTCGAGGTGGAAGCTCGGTCGGACCGAAACGGAAACCCCTTCAAACGCGTGCACGACATTGTCAGATCCTTTGGTAGGGCTTAATTAATGACCATCCTACAGATTAGAAGACCCCGAGACAGCATTCAACCCCCTTCCTTCGAAGAATCATTTCCGAAACCGAGCAATCCACGAGGCACAGCCGGGACCGAACTCAGGCGAACGCTGAAAGAGCTGGACTGTCGTGATACCAAGCCAATCGCTTGAAAAAAAGAGTAGGCTTCATATCGGATATACTTAGCGGCATGAGTCGCAATTCACGTTGAGGTGTGGAGGTGGCTCTGGCGAGCCCAATGATGCTACGACCGATCCACATCAACTACCTTCTTCTACCCCGGCCCCATCACGGACATTATGCAATCTCGCATACTGCATGGGCCCTGCATAAACTCATCTGGATGACTTGGCAGACCAGTCCCTTATGGAGTGAGCCAGGGCGACGGTCGAAATGCAACCTGGTTGGCTGCCCCCTGGGGCTTAAGTAGAGCAAGGTTTCCGTTCTTACTAGCCCACCGGCTCGCAATCGATTTCGTCTGGTCTCACGAGCATTCCCTGTCACCTCCTCCCTCAGTCAATGCAGACTCTGTTCATTTTTGTCTGGTGGTTTGCCTGCATCTTCTCTACACTAGTTACGACCGCCAATATCTCCGACAGATATATCATTCTTCTGAAGCCGGATGTCGACATCGTCCAGCACCTGAAATTTGTAGAGAACCTCTATACCAAAATCATAGCTGACCAGCCCGATAAGGCTTACCAGGGCATTACCCACCAGTACAATATCTCAGACGCCTTACTTGGATACGCGGGACATTTCGACAATACCACTATTGCAAGGCTCAAGATCCACCATGACGTGGCCACTATTGAGAGCGACAAGGTATTCGTGGCGGGTGGGGCGGTAGAAAAAGCAACTGACCTCGCCTCATCGTTGAAACCTCCTGGAGAGGCCTCCGTCCCCAATGCAAAGATACCTCCGACGTATGGGCTCGGTCTCCTTTCTCATCGCGGGCTCGAGAATATGGAGGAGTACCTCTACGACAAGTCCGCCGGCAAAGGCACTTTCGGCTACGTAGTAGACTCAGGCATCAACATCAAGCACGTCGAGTTCGAGAAACGCGCAAGCAAGGGCTACAATGCCTGCAAGCCTGCAACATTCGAAGATGACAACGGTCACGGCACTGCCATGGCCGGACTCATGGGCAGCAAGACATTCGGCGTCGCAAAGAAGACTAAACTTATTGCGGTCAAGGTGCTCAACAAGAATGAGGGCACGACCGCGGCGCTACTGGACGGCTACCAGTGGGCGGTGAACGACATCGTCAAGCGGAAGCGCCAGTCTAAAGCAGTGGTCAATTGCTCCTGGTACGGCGCCTATTCTCCTGCACTCAACAAAGCCGTCGACGTCGCTTGGAGCCAGAACGTCACCACCGTCGTGTGCTCGGGCAACGTAGGCGAAGACGCGGACAACTATTCTCCGGCATCTGCGGAAGGAGCGATCACTGTCGGCGCGACAGACTGGTATCGAAAGCGGCATCCGGCCTCGAATTGGGGAGACCCGGTTGACATATTCGCGGCTGGAGTGAACATTTATTCGCCGGCACACGTCAACAAAACGGCTATCGCAATTGGGTCAGGCACGTCACAGGCAGCGGCATATGTGGCTGGACTGGTTCTTTATCTTAAGGGCATGAAGAAGTCTAAGCTGCCGGATGCGCTGGCGACAAAGGCTTACGTGTTGGAATTGGCTACAAAGGATGTTGTCAAAGACCCAAAAGGCTCGCACAATAGATTTGTGTATAACGGGAGTGGGAAGTAGGATAATCAAGAACCAAAAAATGTCTTCAATTTTCTGATGTTTCTGCCAATTCATTCCTCGAATAGTACGAGATCCAATCTTGTGATATGGAGAGAGAGTCCTCGCCGAAGCGCCCTGGACTGCTCTCCGAGACGGCCTTTGAGCTGCGCCATGAACTTGTCGTGCGGTTGATGGACGCGTACCCTGACAGAGGTTTTCGCTTTTGCCCCATGAACTGGTGTGTGCCTCGGTAGATATACATCCTCGCAACACGCCCCTTATCCTGCGCCGTGACGCTTCCCCAGTATTGCTGCACCGGTTTCCCCGCCATCGGCCCTCTTCCCAACACCACAAGTATCTGCCATTCTCGGAGAACTGTTATCGCTGCAATACGCTACCCGTAACGCCCCGCGAGTCGCGGGGCTCGTCGTCGACCAACTCGCTGGGATATCACTCCTGCTGTATGAGGGGATATTCGTGCCCCTTACAGGTCCACATCTTGCTGGAGTTGCTCTTGTAGCAACTGAGGCACAGCCCGGTGCGCACCGTAGGTACCTCATCGAAGTCCAAACCGGGGCACTCAGGTCTGGGCTGCCTTCCATGCTGCGGGCAGGTGGGGATCTGGCGTCCAAGGGCCTTGAATGACTCGATCGTGTTGGAGAGGCATCTCTCAAGGATGGACTTGATTGCGGTCGAGAGCAACGCGCTGTCCAGTTGTATGCCGCATCCGCAGGCTAAAAGGGTGGCCTCGTGGTCTCTGAGGGCTTGCATGAGCTCTGCTTTAACGGCAAGCCTTTGTTTGGCCATCTGATCTTGAGGATGTCAGTGATTGAGCATTCTACTGCGGTGTAAATTGGACACTTACTAACTGCCCCAGTCTTGATCCACGGGGAAAGCCCCTCGTCCTCAGAGATTTCGCTTAGCTCAGTAGGGAAGTCCATGATCAGAGAGCTGGTGAGGCGTCTGAACTCGTCAGGAACATTGCTAATTGCGGCGGTGACCACCATGCAGCACGTCTCATGGAAGTTCCATGTCCGGCTACATGTCCTGAACCATTCTCGTACGTGCCAGGTGATGATGTCCGAGCATTGGTATTTGTCGCTGATTATTGCAAGACGGACCATATGCCTGGGTCGAATGTTTCCTCGTTCAATGACCATGCGGTGATGAACTAATCTTAGCAGGAATTCCAGGGAATCCACCGGGTCGTCGAGAGGAAGAGTTCTTGGTTCAGAAGCAGAGCGGCTACGACCTTCAATGAAGTTGCCGCAAAGCATAGCTTGGAAAACGGGTGAGACGTGTGCCAGCAGGATGGACGACACGATAAAGCGGATCTTGGGCTGTTCCTCGCTGACAATGATAACATCTCCTCCGTGATATAGGACTGTGTCGGCCGTCATATCGTCGTCGGCGATCGTAGAACCAGGCGATGCGGGTGGCTCCTCCATCTTCACGTCAAGGCGCGTCGGTTTCTGGAGTCAACCAGCCTGATGGATTAGCTGACTGGCTGTGAGTGCGGAAGGGAAGTAGTAATATTTCGAAATAAGCTGTTGATGCTACCAAAGCGTATCTGGCAGGGGGCATAGGTCTGGAAGGAGCTCGGAGCGAGCAAGTGTATAGATTGTCTTGTGTTGAGAGGGCCAACAATGTATGTAAACAGAAGGCTCCACGTGACTTCGGCCAATTACTGCACATCTAGGCGCGCCAAAACGCGCAGCTCACGTGCGGGAGGAGGTACACAGCCATTCGTTCGAGGTTTCCGAGTTATTGAGCGCCTTATTTTGAGCTTTCAACATGCTATAAGGTAGATGTACTGTGGGACAAGCCAAGTAAATCTGCAATGGCTTTTCTACCAGTTGAATTCTGCTGTTTAGCAACGAATATGGGTCAAGTATTCAATGGTGGGCTGTTAAGCCAAAGATTTTGCGCTAGCTCGGCGATGGAGCAGGACATCTTCGACTAGTAACTGCCAACAAAAGCGAACAAAGAATCGGGGGTATCAGAGTTGAACCAACAGCAGACTTCATCAATCTAAAAAAAACGAGTATGACTATTGTTGCCTCTAAGTGCCTGCTTTCAACCGCAACACCTCTTCATCATTTGTATCTATCTGGTAGCTGTCCCGCGGAGTCGCCAATTTTGTTGCCAAGTTGATTGTAAGCGACATGCAGCCGGATAATGGTACATCGGGGAGTCCATAAGTATATTATGTCCTCAAACCATACTACAATATACTAGTGACACTACGGCAATTATGTCCGAGTAAAGTCATTATATTCTTACAATAAAGTTAGCCTCGCGGGCCCCACTTCGTTGTTCGGCTTCTTGGCTTCGTTCTGCTGAGCATGCCCTGGTTTCTGCACCTTATGACTCAGCAAGGTTCGGGAAGGGCCATCAAGTGATAAATCTCTGCTTTCCGCCCCTGACTTCGCGGGTATGTCGTTGTGATGCCCGTCCGGTTTTACCTCGTGGCAACTCGGTCTGCAGGTGTGAGTGCCACATGCACGCCTGTCCGTACGGCATTTCACTGGGCATGGAATCGGTGTACCCCTCGATCAGAGACGACACGGATCACATCGTCATGGCACAGCTGGGCTTCAGAGCGGCATCTCGGCAGAATTCAACAAGTGTGAGAAAGCGGTCAGTGGCCACCATCAGTTTCTTAAGTATGCATTATATGCCCACATAGATCCTCGCATGACATGATACCATCATGATCGTCATGATAGCCGGCCTACCGAGTGTTCACCCACGAGGGTCGGCCGGAACATAAGCTAAAAAAGAGTGTGTGTTCACGTGGGTGTTGCCGTTCAGTAGCCAGCGGAGTCAGCCACCTCTAGTAGCCGGTCTCGTCGTCCACCTCCCCATCCGCGTCTGGATCCTCGCTCTCGTCCTCCACTTGAGCACCGTCTTGGCCCTCCTCGCTCTGCCATATGGACAGCATGGTCCATGCCGCGTAAGTGACGTTGGGGCAGCGGTATTTGACGGACATCGCTTCGATGGCTGGCATAATCTCGACGGTCAACGAATATCGGATGGCATCGAACTTGTTCGATACAATGTGGAGGAAAACGTCCAGGTACTCGACGTCATCGTCGAGCATGATGGCGGGCTCAACCATATAGGGCCTTGCGTTCCGGCTCAGCTGCACCCAGCGTCTGAAGTCGACGGACACATCCTCCAGCAAGCTCGCCGAGACAAGGAATCGTCGAGAGGCATCAAATGCATTGGCGACGTATATGTCGCCCAAAGGGTCGACAATTGTGGTAGTAATCTCAACCATGGCTTGCGACATTTGCGGGTGGTTTCGGAGAAAGTTCGAATAGTCGAAGGCGTATCGATACTGTGAGTCCATGGCAGGTTATTTGGAGTCCGTGAAGGAAAAGGAGGATCAAGGAAGGCGCGAAGACGGTTCTTATGCTCAGCTTCCATTTGGTTGCACAAATTCCCACGGCATTCGCAGACAAGCTATTTCTGGAAGCTTACGCTTGGCGAGTCGGTCTATACTCTCCTTCCCATAATCGTGTTTGAGGAGCTGCGCGAGGTGCCTCCATGCCCGGTCAGCCCTCTGTCCCACGGATCGTAGGGCGACGATCAATGCACACAGTGTAGCACTTACGCGGGACAAACGCTACACACCGTCCGTTGCATGATAATTCCGGAGTATCAGGTGGAGCCGGGCCCATGGTCCAGCCATATCTTCTACAGCTCGCAAGGTCTTGACTGCGGCATGCATGGTGATACTTTGTATGCCGGACGAGTTCGTAATATGTTGTACGTGTACACCATGGCGAATACTCAATTAGGTATCGGTTGAGTCCAAGCCACCCATTGCTTCCACCAGATGTCATTTCGTTGAGGAGACGTTTCGATGGACCCAAGCAGCTTTGTTCAGCCTCAATGACGCCGTTCGCCAACTTCAAATGGTTAGACAGTGCAATGTTTTATATTCCTACAGTTGAACGTGATTTGTTAGATCTGCCACAAATTCCGAACGCCTCAACACGTCCCATTTCGACTCACCACAGCACGGATCGATCTCATCCCAATAAAATTCCAAATTGGTATATTCAATTGACGAGCATGATAGGCCTGCAGCAAGCCTCAGGTCTGACGCACGGTCTTGAACACCGTAATGGCGATCGTACTGCGGCCATATCGCTACTTTCAGAGCCAGTAGTTGACTGGCCGCATAGCGCTCAGCTCAAGCAGGGTACATTATGAGTATCAGCTGGTAAGTGTACGCATGTTCTCATCACGAATCTGGAGAGCACTCTTTGAGTTTCCGGCGAGGCTGTATCATCATCACCTTTCTAGGGACTGTCATTGGACGGCATCCAAATGATTGGCAAACTCGCGCTAGGTGGAGGGTAACGCAGGTATGCACGACACGTTGGCCACACCGATCGTCAGCAACGAGTGACGTGGCTCAGCACTGCTTGAGCAATCAAAGCCCGCGATACAGTCGTGACGCAGATAATGTAATGCAAAGTGGCCACTCTGGTGGAAGCTGAGATCACATTGCATACAGAAACATGCTGTTGTGAATCCGCGACAAGTTGCTGTCGACCAGCCCAAGCACCCACTGTGGTTCCACCTGGGGGGCAGGCGGCATGCTGCATCGCCGATGACGTGCCACATGATCCAGTTATTTCCGAGAACCCACCTCGACGACTTGACTAAACCGGCAGTACTTTGCGAACCATCCTGGATTAACCGCCTCTTTGCAAGTCAGACCAGAATGACAGACCCTTACATGTATTCTATTCCCTTTTCTTGGCTTGCGGACGACTTAGGGCTAGCCACTAATGGTCGAGCTGCACGAAGCGTAGAGTGCGGCATTATCATCACCGCGCGGCAAACACAGCACACACTCTGGAGTTCCACATGTAAGCAATACTCTCTCCTGCAGACGATATTTTCATTGCTGACCTACAGCCTCTTATCACAGTAATAAAAGTGATTCAAGGCTTCGAGACTAGCTCAGATATAAAATTGACCCCGATATTGCATTGAAAAGAACAGCCAAACAAATAGCCTTTCACAGATTATATACCTTGGTCACTGACGTTCCCAAATACCTGGTGTATCGAATGGCCTTTTCCGAGCTGCAACAGCACAGCCTTGAGACTCTCCGCGTGCTTGACGAGCGGTCGTGATGCGAGGAGCCGGCGCCGCCCGAACCATCTCCGAAAGCAAATGATTGGAGCAAAGGCTGTCGTCGACTGCATCGATGGCCAGGCCGACAATGCCACTGTAAGAGAAATTGCTGACCAGGCGATTTTTGAGAGAAGTCGGACATGCTTAAATGTGGCGGGGGTGAAATTTGAACGAATTTGCTCATGCTGGTAATGGTCTGGCCAGATTACTGAGATAATTGAATTGATATTAGAACAAAATCCAGTGCATCCAGGTTAGATTGCTTCTTTCTCGCAAGGTATTTCACGAAGAATTGCAGGGCTGTAGTGTGATTGCCCTCATTGCCACATTCTCGAACAAAATGCTGTCAAGGCCGAAGTGTGACGATGAGGCGCACCTCAAGACCTATGGTGCGGAGAGGCATTGCTGAACGCTTTGGGAACCCGAGAGCTCCTGCTGCGAATCTGGCCTTAGCGCGGCCTCCGGCCTCACTTCAACGCCTCTGCTTGGAACTTCTCTGTGTAATCACGCACCGGGATAGTGGGCCATGTCAGAAGTGTTGCTCTGCGTCTGATTGTCCTTCGGACGCTCATTGTAGGCCCCGGTTCTAGCATACAGCTGATCGAAGGAAGTACACAAGGCATACATCTGGTGTCCAGCGTACGAGGATGCGTTCACAGTCTGATCGAGCTCATTGATATGATCCTTCCGTTGATCCATCGTGCTATGGAGCCGCGCTATCTCCGCGTCTAGATACTCACGCCCTCCTCTCACGTCTCTATTTTCCTCAGATTGTGAATGAAGATCCCTCAAATACTGTGCCTCGACCTCAATTGGGACAATGTGGGTGGCTTCACCCCTGGGCAAGGACATGTTGTAAAGATAAATGACTGGCGGCTGGTAAAATCAGGCTTTTGTGGTGGATCGTTACCGCGAAATGAATTCCTACTTACGAGCGATTCAAGGTGAGCAACTTGAGCAGACCTATGAGTAAAAACAGCAAGGTGGTCAATCTAGGATGAACACGGGAGAAGCGAAGGAAGAGAAACAGGAGCTACCCCCGCGATCCGTGTTCCTCAAGCTTGGTAGAGCGGGCATCTGGACTTGTACTCTATCCTGACTCTGTGCATAAACGTATCCATGACAGCACCGCATCAGCCTACTTCACTTATTAAGCATCATTATCTGACCCTAGGGACGAAGCCCGCCAGCGATTCCCACCAGCGAAAGCAATCAGACAGTCAACATTTACTAGGGTGATCAACTTTGAATCTCTATAATTAAAGGCGATGGCTAACGGTACATTATTTACAATTTTCAAGCTTCTTCAATCACACTCATTCCCTATTCACCTTCATCACAAGCCAGGAGCTAGACGCCAAGGGTTGCGCAGCATCTCCAATTCGTCAAAGAGAGGCAGTATGAGCACCTCACACGACGTCTTTCTGGACTTCCGAGTCGAGCTGGACGCGGTAATCTGTAGCTGCTCTGGAAGTAAACGAACGGGAATCGCTTCGGAAACATGGTTTGGGCAAGAGGATATGCTTCGTAACATCTGTCGCCGCTGAATTATCGGTGCTCGCACAGTATCAAGTCTCTCTTGCAGCTGCGAGCCCAACCATGTCCCTTGTTCGACTTGAGAGACCACTTGAGAACAATCGTTGACAAGTTTGTAGGGTTCTTTGTCAGTCTCGGAGCAGATCGCCACCAATCGCTGCAGGCCAGCATTGTACCCTCTGGCTTTGTCATACTCTACTAGCAGTCTATCGTGGTCCATACGTATGCGTTTGCACCTCATCTGCAAGGTCTTGCTGCGTTCCCTGACGGTTTCGTTGGAGGTTTGCAGCTCCGTCAATTCTGCCGTGCGGCGGTCAAATAGTCTATGCCGTCGCTGTTCCTTTTCACCTCGGCGAAGATCGGCCCTCTGCTGAAGGAACTCTGCTATCTGTTCAATGTCGTTCTCCAGGTGTCGAGTATCCTGCACTGATGATGAAGACACCTCCACGGCTTCCGATGACAGAATTGGATCTATCATCGCGGGACAGGGACTATCGATCTCGGCATTCCGCGAGATCCTCGGTCCTGATATCTGGGACAGATCTATGGGGACCGGCATGGAAGCTGATAATGTTATCGTGGACGCCAAGTCATTCGTTCCGGTAGCATTCGATGATGGCCTAAAGAATCTCGATGAGTGGACATTCTAGGCTTATCAAGTGTTGGCACTCACAACCAGGTTGTAATGGGAGAAAGCTGCACTGTTGATGCGACATAAGAGCTATAATTGTTTATGATGATCCGTAGAATTGGTCAGTATATTTTGGCTACAATTATGAGAGAGAAGGAATTCTTGCAGATTTATCGAAATAATTTCTGTCGGCTGCCTAGGACACGGGCAGCGACAGTCGTACACAGACGCAGCCCACCATCAGCCTCGCTGTCCGACACTGGAATTTGGGCATCAGGTCGTCTGCCCAACCTCCCCCAACCATCTGTTGTGCACCTGCCCCTGGTATAATGTTTCGAGCCGGGTGCCTCACTACTTCCAATCGTTTCTTTGCACGTCATACTACTGTATGCGGATTGGGAATTTACCGGAGACGCCATAGCGGCATTCGATTGAAGCTTTTTTGATCCAAGAATGATATTGATTGACATAAGCTGAACAAACCCAAATGCATAACATTATCTCCAAGAAATCATGCGCTCCCAATGCCTCTACAATCCGATCGATAAGTGCTCTAGAACCCGAATGTCCACATGCCCCAGAAGCCCAACCACCGTCATGACCTCGTCCTAAACACCCTAGCTGGGTGCTGTCGATGCACCCGGGGGAATTGTTGGCGCTTGCCATGCGCATGCTTCAATTGTCGAGCGTAGTGCTTGGATCTTTGTTGTAGAACTAAGGTCTGGTGAGCTGTTCGTTGTAATGCCTGATCGAAGACTATGTAGTTGTTGAGATTACTGATGGTCTGCTCGGTACAGGCTTTCTGGGCTATCACCTTCTGACGCAGCTCAATGTTTACTTTCTGCAAGGCCTTGCATTTGTTCTTGGCGCTTTTCAGATTCACTGTCGACGCGGTATTCTGGTCGGGCAGAAACTGGTTATAATCTTTCGCTTGAGCCAATGCCGCCATCCAAGTACAGCGATGAAGTTAGTTTGCTGGTGGCTCATAATTTTCTCCGTGTCGCGAGCCAATTCCTCCGGCTGCTCGCTGTTACACTCGACTAATATTGACAACATAGACTAC